CCTTATCCTCTCCCCGCCCAAATCGGGTGGTAATGATAGACTTCATTGACTGGTACGTTACTCCCCGTCTAAAGCATAAATGGATCTTATCTAATCAGGCCGATGATTTTGGAATCGTTTCGTGAGACCTACGGCAGCTCAACTATATAAGGGCATCAACCCCTCCAAGGCCCAGGTACACGTGATTACTCACACACAAGCTCTCTAGCATTCAAGCTTTCAGATTGCAACCACAGCAAAGATACTAACTTAAGCATTGGATCGACCTCATCGGGTCATCCACCCCGGTCTCTCTGATTTCTATTTTGCAGCTTGGTCCAGCTCGCTACGCGAACAACGTCCATGCATCCTTCCAGCTAGGAGCTTTCAGGTCGCACATCATCAATAACCAAGATCCAAGCTTCAAAATATCGACCTGTATTGGCTGATACACATCGTATAGGGGCCTTCCCGATATGCCTCTACAGAGGATATATTGGGTCAGGCCATGGTTCAAAGGGTATTCGAGACTTAAACCGACCCCTCTGAACTAGTTTTGAAAAACAAAAATAAAATACAAAGAAAACACTAATACAAGCCAATATGCCTTACCGTATCGATATTTAGAACCTTGCCAAGACCACTTAGCAGCCTCAGAATTTGCATTAAAAATTGCAAATAACAGCAAAATACACTTGTTTGGACGCACTATTGTCACTGCCCTTTTTTTATCTCTTTATCGTCCTCCCGATCTCATTGGATCGAGGAAAGGGGCGAGTTCAATAGGACAAACTGACAAAGTTAACCTTCACAAAGAACCTCTGGTATAAACCTTCAACAAATTAAAGTAACTAGAAAATCTTCAACAAAGAACCTCGTTTCACGCTAGTTTAATTTGATAAATCACGAGTCCCACCAAATCAGAACCAAATGCTGCGAAGATGCATAGCCAAAGCTTGCACTTATATTACAATTTTCTTGAAGATATCTGATGTAGGGGGGGGGGGGAGCAAATGATGTAGGTGTTTATGGCTAGGGCCAATGGCATGCCCGTGCGTGGTAGAAGGCAACACACAGAATAGACTCAATGGGAGCATCGCGCAGAGTAGAGGCCGGCGCATGATGCGGAGCCAATAGCCCGAATGCACACGGCAACCTCGAATGATCACACTTTCAAGGCCAGACTATTGGCCATCTGCGCCCACCTACCTCCAAGCGGTCTTAAGTATAAGTTGAGGGTGACCCCCTCAAGGTAAACATCTAGACTCTTAACTACTGAGAAATTTATTGCCTCTTTTGTGGCATCGTCTAAGCACTCCTAATTCAGGCTTCGTCCACTTATCATCACACCCACACTAACTTGACTGTCGGAGTCCTTGCCTTGGATTAGCACCCGGGGCCTTTGACATTTGCTCTCTCTCTCTCTCTTTAGGACTGACCTACAGGCCCTCGGCCATAGGGACCTCAGACTCGTCAATCAACCCTTGGTTCAAGAGTGACTTTACTTTGTTGCCCTCGGCCCATCCAAGGTAGCAACAATATCCATTTTTGTTTCTTTAATTTTGATGTGGACATCCTTTTTTTTATGAAGAGGACATGCCCTACTCAATTACTCATACATATGTATTAAGACTCCAATTCGTAAATTTTGAGCCTTTGGATTTACAATAAACAATGGTTTCTTTGTTCAGTGAATTCGGATTCAGTCCTCACAAAACAATGCAGTATTTACATCATACTCGTAACTACTTTCAACCGTGTATTGAAATTATCTCGGTACTCATAAGTTTTTATTCATAGAATCATGTGAAGATATTCCCAATGCAGATCTACAAGTGGCCGTAAATACAGTATAAGTACACCATTTTGTGAGGACTGAATCCGATCTCATTAATAATATCTGGAAAATTTCATAACAGGAGCATACTGTGATATAAATGGGCCTGCAACAGCTTAGCACCTAGCAAGAAATCTCTTACAGAAATAGAGCAACAATTGTAGCAAATAACAACACGAGCAGTGCACTTTGTAGGCATTTCGTCTATCCCTCACTTCTTTTTGTTTGGTTTGGTTGAATGTTTTAAAGTGATTTTGAGTAATATTAAATATTTATTAAATATTTTAGATTTTATGAGAGCAATTTTAGAGAAAATGTAATATGACATTACTTTCAATGAAAATGACGTTTTATGCTTTTTTTTTAGCCCATATGACACCAAACAACACTCTTCTATTGGCATGTGTGCCACTTTAGGCTGTATTTGAAAGTGAAGTAAATCAAGAATCGATGTAAAATTTACATTGGTTCGGTTTTGTAGGCATTTGGAAGGACGTGACGCAAAACTCCACTTTGGTTTAGTTTTGCATGCATTTGAATGTAGTAGAGTTTTACGTCGATAATCGATATAAAACCTCATCAAGCATAAAATTTTACACTCTTCCACAAATTACGTTTTTCTAAAAGCAACAATCACTTTCATAGTTCATTGTAAAACGTTCTCAGTGTATTTTTACACCGATGACGTTTTACACTGATTCCAAACGCAACCTTATGGTTTTAAATCCCACTTGATGACCTCAGATTGGCATATCCTTTGAAATGAGAGGCTGAGGTTTTACCATACCCCGATTATTACATGCTAGTATAACTAATACTTAATAATTTTGATAGGCTAATATATCCCAAGGCTGTGTTTGGTAGCAGTGTAATTAATCAAGTTAGTCTACTTTGATTAAATATTCAATGAATAAAATAAGCTTAGTTTACTTCATTTGTATTTTAATCGAATAAAATAAGCTTAAATTTAAAATAAAAATAATTCACAATTTACACTCAAATCATTTGCACTATCATACATCAGTATAAATTCATGTCGAGATTATATATGTTTTGACTTAATTCGATTAAAATATTATTAATTTTGAGTTTGAGTTTAATTCAAACTCTATTTCTTGGTTTGAGTTTATTTTGATTAAATATTCAATGAGCTGAAATTTGATTCCAAAGCTCAAAAATGAATATATTTTTAATTATATATAAACATTTTATAATATACAATATATTTTTATATTATATATAATATAAACTTATATTTTTCCTAATATCTATTATAAATATATCTTTATATTCTACAAAAAAATGCATGTATGTATGCATTAATCGAGTTAGTCTCATGAGTTTTTTAACAAACTTTTTATTCGATTAAAACTCGATTCAATTACAACTTTAGTACCATGGTGAAGAGAAGTTTCACTAAAATGTCTGCTTGTTCATTTCTATTTATGGTATAAACCCAGATAACCAATGTCAAATGCCTTAGTTGAAAAACCTTTTGATTAATTCTTTTAATTTAAAGAAGAGAAAATGGTCCAATGGTGATAATGAGTTTTTTAAAAATTTGTATACATTGAAATGAGATGAGGTGGCTTTTTTAACATTACCCTGGATAGGATAAGTTCGGCAGTTTTCCCTTTTTATTTTTTAAAGGAGGGAAAGTCAACTCGTTTCAAGTGAAGTGGGTCCTAGTTCCAAGAGACTGGTTAGTGGTAACGAGTTGCTGGGGCCCCAGGCCCAGTCACAAGAATCCAAGTCCAAGAGGCTTCCTTTAGAAGGTGGATGTGGAATTGGAATCAAAGGCATGCAAGACCCACGTGTGCTGCTGTCATTCTGTCTCTCTCTCTATATATATATTCATGCCATGTACCATGTACATTCTCTGGTCTATCTCTTTCTTGCTCCCTCAATTTTTTCTTTTTACAGTCAAGATCCTTCTATTTTTCATTTTTGAGCTAAAGAGTCACATTCTCTGGAATCGTTCAGATATCACATCTCTTTGAACTTTTACTCTGCGACAAACACCCTTTCCTTAGAGTTTTATAAGTTAACTTCCAAAAAGATTCTCATTTGCCTTTTTATTTTTTGGGAGAATGATGGTTCAGCCCAGGGTCAGAATTTTTAGGCCCAAAGTACAGTTGGGGTGGGTGCCAGATCGGAATTAATGTCAATTCAAGGGCATGCATTGATGTACAGAGTAGGGGTTTTTGACATTTTGAATGTTTATAGCTCTGTAGTGGAATGGAATTCAGAAATCTGCATTGGGCCTATTTGTATTTTTCCGTTATTTTTTTCCTTTCAAACCTCTGAACTACCTCTTTCTTATTTATTTGAATGATTTGTGATTTAATTATTTTTTTTAAATATAACATTGAAGTCCTCTCAATTGCTCAAATAAATCCTTATACATTTCTGGTTGAATTTGATATTCAAATGAAATGGCAGAGATTTCTATCAAGGTTCAAAATTTTATCATGTATTGGCTCGTATAGACTGATAAGTATCATTACGTGAAATAGAGGGAATTTCAAGGTAAGACCTGTTTTAGGGGTAGTCAGGCTTTTAATCGATCCCCCTGAAAGTGTTTGGAAAAACTAAAAAAAAATGTGTTAATATAAAGATTGATATGTCCAATTTGACGTATCACATTATATCATTACTTTGAACCTTGGTTTCTTTCTATTATATATAAATTTATAGTTTCATTTGTTTTTTCTTAATTTATTGGAATAAGGAGTGGATGTTTTTTTTTATTTTATTTTAAGATGAAGAGAAGCATTCATGTGAGTAGTAGAATGAATTAAGAATTAAAAAATAACTTTTTCTATGCTAGTGAAATTATTGTTATTATTTTAGCAGGTTTTATTTAGATAAAATGAAAGTATTTTTGGTGAATTAGATTTAAAAGAAAAGGAGGAAAAAATAAAAAAAAGAATTTAGTGGACATATTGGTAATTTAACATATTCAATTAAGAATTAGCCGGTCGGGGAGTATTTATTGCAAAGTGAAAGTTCAAAGAGGTTTTTATCGCAAAAATGAAAATTCAGGGCTATTTATCATTGACCCCTTGGTACAAAGGGGGTCTTTGTAAATATATGCTGTTTTGAAAGAAGAGGGAGAAGGTCAACTTGAAATCTTCCAACCTCATTGCACAATATACTTTGATAGTAAGATATTCCAATCATGGGTTTATGCCATGGGGGTTAGAAACTTGAAATGAAAGGACGAAAGCGACTCTGAAGTCCAAACCGCAGCCGACGGAGGTATCTCTGTTTCCCGCTCGGACGCTATCATAAGCAGTTGGCGTGCGAAAGCAGTTCTACCAGAGAGAGAGAACGAGAATGAAGTACGTCTTGGTGACTGGGGGAGTGGTGAGTGGACTCGGCAAAGGCGTGACAGCGAGCAGCATAGGCGTCGTCCTTAAAGCATGTGGCCTGCGCGTTACCTCCATCAAGATAGGTTCGTTATATTACGTGATTTCTTCTGTTAATAAGTATTCCTTCTGTTTATTATGGGTTTTGGTTCGAAATGTAGATTTTGTGCTTGTTAAAAAACGTGTTCAAGGTTTTAGCTTTACTACTAGATTCGTGAATTTTGAATCTTATGTCTCGCGTACTCTGTTCTGCCGATGTTTCTGTTCGAAGTTTTGCTTGCTTTTGTTCACTTCTACTGCCTGCAAGGATAGAAAAATTGTTCAACATTTGTTTGTTTGATTTCTCCACTATTTTATTTTATTTTGTTTTTTTGGGTTTCTCGTTGAATTAAGACTTGGTTTCTTGATCATTGATTCCTTTTCGGTTCGTTTTGGTTTTTCCTTGTGCCCTTTTTAATGATTCTAACTTAATAGTTTTAAATGGATTCGCGAAATGTCGCTTGACTTTTACTATTGCTTGTGATTCTTGGTATGTTTCTTGGTTTTGTTTGCGTTAGCATTTTTATCAGTAATGTGGATTAATTCTTAATTTTTTTCTCAATTCTTCCCCACCTTTTCCGTATTTCATCTGTGATAATTGCAGATCCTTATTTGAACACGGATGCTGGTACCATGTCACCGTTTGAACACGGAGAGGTTTTTGTCCTTGATGATGGTGGAGAGGTTCGTTCTTTTCTTCCATTAATCTATAAAAAAAGGTGGAAGTACTGAAAGGGACGTTAGGTCTATTGGTAAACCGTAAAAATTCAGTCTATCTTCTTGATTTACATAATTTCTAAGTATAATTATACTGACCTTTTCTTTAATTAATTTTGGTTTGAGATCCTGTGTGAATCTGGTGGTGTGCTGTGTGTTCTAACAGCAATTTTTTGGATTCATTTTCTAATTTACGTATAATTACTTTGCCTCTCAATCTCCCATCCCTTGCCATTTTTTCCACACTATCTTGTTAGGACTTGGGAGAATCGTCCGTCCTCATTGTCTGTGGATGGAACATCTTTTATTTTTCATAGAACAATTGCCCAATCACCATGCGGACAAATATTTGATGTCTACTATTACTCAGCAATGGCCGCCTCCCATATGAACCAATTTTATATTCCTAAAATCAAATTATCCCAATATCTACTGTTATGGTCCTAAAAGGTTATATTGCCTGATTTTTTACCGCATTTTATTGGTCCCAGGGCTTTGAACTTATTGGTTAAACATCTTGATTTGCCACATTAACATATTGGTTGGGTAAGTAAAATCTACCCACTACTGGGATGGGTAGAAGCATTTAATAAGTGATTATGGCTTCAGTGTCTGGAGGTGGCGCATCAATTAGGTTCCCCACACGAATAGTGTATATAATGTTTGAACTGCAAAATGCCAAATTTATCATTTGGTGGAAACCACATAGATAAGAAGTTTATTTCCTTTTGGTTATCTGTCTGTGCTCCGTAGCATTTAGATGCCAGAGATACTGCCGTTCACTGTAATTCATCTGTCCTTTGCCTCCAACAGAAATCAACTATTTTTTTTGTTGCACTTATGGATGTGTTAGCCAGCATAGGATCACTAAGAGGGACAATCTTTCAAAATGTTTTTTTTTTTTTTTTTGGTTTGTGGTGAACCAATTTCAGATGATGGCCATTTAGCTTCAAATGTGAAGAGAAAAAAAATGAAGAGGAAATGACAATTTACTTCATATGCGAAACAAATTATTAGCGTGCTCATCACTACTAACCCTTTATCTTTCTTGACTGAACTGGTCCACAAATTCTGGATATTTACTCTCTATTTACTTGGTTTGCTTGTTCAAAAAGGTTGATTTAGATCTTGGTAATTATGAGCGCTTCTTGGATGTGACACTTACTAGAGACAACAACATTACCACAGGGAAGATATATCAGGTGAACATTTTCTTTTGAATACTTGCTACTTTAATATCTCTTCTCAAGCCAATATGCCTTCTTTTAGTCCCTTCAATATAATAAATCTGTTTCTATGGCTTCAGTCTGTGCTTGAGAGGGAAAGACGGGGTGATTATCTTGGAAAGACAGTTCAGGTGCTTTTATTAGAAACTTATCCTTTACTTTTATTCCTTAAGCACACAAAATTATAAGAATAGCTGACTGAAATACTAAAAGCATTATATTGTAAATTCCATATTGAGGTGGATTCCAGGTGGTCCCGCATATCACAGATGCCATTAAAAACTGGGTTGAGTCTGTAGCTGTCATTCCTGTTGATGGAAAAGAGGGCCCAGCAGATGTTTGTGTGATAGAGTTGGGAGGGACTGTTGGTAAGAGAAGTTGGGCATGAAATGTTCTCTTCTTTGTTGTCATAAAAATCTAAATTGGTTTTGGTTATTGTTGTTCCACCTTTTATTTTTATTTTTAACATCTGTTATTGGTGATCTGATATTGTGTACAATAGGTGATATTGAGTCTATGCCATTCATTGAAGCCTTGCGACAGCTATCTTTTTCAGTTGGTAAGTCTGTATTTCGTCCTTTTCTTTTAATCACTGTATGGTTGGTTAAGAGGTAAATCGAGATGAGTATCTTTTTATCAATGTGACTTATGATCATATAATATAATTGCCAAGTGTACCAAGAAAAGATATGATGTCATTTACTGGACGATGTGGTTACCGAGGTTCAAAATTTTAACATGATATGTCCCGTATCAGGTGTATTGTATCGTGTCAGTAGGACCCCTAATTGCCGATTTTAAGGAATTCCCGAAACATATTTTTTGAAAAAAAAACAACTAAAAAAATGATCTCCGTTGGGTTCGAAGTGTTGATATACCCCTTTCGGTGTATCGAGGTGTATCGATACTTTGAACCTTGGTGGTTACTCAAGGTATATGAAGCTATGATACCAATAAACAGAAATGCAAGAGGAAAATGGCTCTAACTATCTTATAAATATAGTGGTCTTGTTACGTTCAGTCTATTGAAAGTTGTATTTACCTCTAACAATTTTATTTGTTTTCCTCCTTCAGGACAGGACAACTTCTGTCTCATTCATGTGAGCCTTATACCAGTTTTGGGTGTAGTTGGTGAACAAGTAATTCCCTACCCTGTTCTATTCTATTTTCTCTAGAACTCTTTTGGAGGCTTTTCCAGGTTTTTGTTGCTTTCCCTTTATTTTTGACTTAGCAGATCAGCATTTTTTCCGTTATTGCTTTCTTCCATGAAGGTAATGCTTTTCATTGCTACTTTTATTTATGTAGAAAACAAAGCCAACACAACACAGTGTGCGGGAATTGCGGGCATTAGGCTTGACTCCTCATTTGCTAGCATGTCGCTCAGCTCAGGTATTACTGCATCTATCTATATGCATGCAAGAGACTGAAATAAATAAACAGCTTTAGTCTGCAAATACTGTACATGGGGACCTGTCAAATGATCATTTGATTTACTATAAAACGTTGTTCTAGTCAACTTCACCTTAGTTGAACATCTTAGTATTAGAGGATATATTCAGTTCAGAAATTATTAGTATTAACTCATATAATACAAAATAGAAGTTCATGCCAATATATTCAGTTTTCCAGTATCAATTTCTATATATTTGTTCATTAAACACTGAAATTGGATTTTCATGATTTATCTATGCTGGCAAGAGAGGGTGGGCCTTGGTGCAACGATTGGGTTTCTCCATTGTGTCCTGGGTGACCAGGGTTCATATCTTGGAAAGAGCCCCTTTGTATGTGCAGGGTAAGGGCTGCGTACATATGTCACTCCCCAGACCCTGCATTGGTGGGAGCCTCATGCACTGGGCTTCCCTTTATTTAATGGATATTAGAGGAGCAATGCTATTCTGATGAGCATGATGCCAGATTTTTAAGTCGCAAATGGACAAAATATAGAGGGGGGATGCAAATAATAGGGGTTTGTGTATTTTTTTCCAATTTATGTAACAATTTGCTTACATTCATTATTTTTTCAATAGTTGTTACTGAGAATTTAATCAGGATACCTAATGTTATTTTTGTGGTTTCTTTTCAGCCTTTATTGCAAAATACAAAGGAGAAACTTTCACAATTTTGCCATGTTCCGGTGGGTGGTTGCTGAAGTTTGCATTGTGGGTTCTAATTTATGTTCTTAAGGTTCTTATTCTATTCCTCTAAATTTTCTCATAGGCTAGTAATATACTCAATATACATGATGTTCCAAACATTTGGCATGTTCCTCTTTTGCTTCGGGTGAGTTGAACTTTACTGCTTGTAAGCTTGACTGCTTTCTTTTTATTATTTTCATCTTTTTCTAGATGCTTTTTGCCTAAGTTTCTGATGTTCAACTGTATTCCAGAATCAAAATGCTCATTATGCCATTCTAAAACAGCTAAACTACCTTAGGTGAGTACTGATATATATTAATTTTCTCCACCTCTAAGCTGAAGTTTTGGCATCAGGGTTCAGATTGGTCAATCTATACTTCTTGTCCAGTGAGACTAACATGTTTTGAATTGAGATCTGGGATAGTCTGGAGTGGTTTGGTTTATATGAATTTCGCTCTGCCAGCATCCATGTGGTTTGGCTGAGATCTTAGTCATCTATGCAAATCCTGTGGAGGGTGTTCATATGACTTACTGACTTAGTTGAGGCGTTGCAGTTTAAATGTGGGAAGCACCATTTAGAAACTGGATGTGGTCAACTATGTTACCTGATCCACCGGGAATTTTGTTTTTCAGCGTTGCCACATCTCCTGATTTACAAGAATGGACCACACGGGCGGAGACCTATGATAATCTCACAAACTCTGTTAGTATTATTTCATAGTATGCTCTTCTTTGAAACATTTTCTTTCTGATAATGCTGATAATGATATAAAAGAGGCTGTTTTCTTTGTGCAGGTGCGGATTGCTATGGTTGGGAAGTATGTTGGCTTAACAGATTCATATTTGTCTGTTGTCAAGGTATGAGAATAGTGCAGTTACCAAAAAAAGCATGAGAATATTACCAAACCCTCATTTGTGAGAAGAGAAAGAGTGTAATGATATCTTTGTTGGATGGGATTTCTAATAGAACTTTTTCTTTGCCAACCAAGCTTAGTTGTCAAGGTGATGCCTAGGCAACAAGGCACCTTTGGAGGGTCGCCTCTCCTAAGCACCTAAAAATTTTTGTTTAAGGTGCTGAATAATGTTTTTTCATTTTTTATTTTATAATATTATAATACTACAATAGATATTATTATAATATATTATTCATTTTGTGACTTCATAATATTTTTATAATTCTTCTACTAGTTTCTTTTCCTCTATATTTTCTTTTCTTTCTTCTTTTCTTCTCATAAATATGTTGATTTTCTATGTTTTGATACAGATTTTAAACTTATTTGATGAGGATTATGGTAATTATTAGTTAAAGATTACTGCTGATTACTATGAAACCTAGGGAACTACCCTTGCTAGGCAGGAACCTAAGTGATAAGGTGCCCCCCTATGTGATGTTTGAAACTGAAGGCCCCATTGGACAAATGACTAATGTAAGAATTTGTTGGAAATTTACAATTATTACATAAGTGCAAATGCATGGAGCATTTCTTGGTATCTAGAAAAAATGGCTATACTATCCAAATGAGCAACCTTATTGAAAGTACAGCGCGTCTGCATATTCTCAGAAGTTTGGCAGAATTGCTGAGTTTTTGTTGTCTCCTGAATTTTCTAATTATTGATCTGCTTGCCTGATATCTTACTTTTTCTCTTTTTTCTACGGTAAAATGAATTGTGTAGTCCTTTTAGAAACAGTGACTGTGATTCACTCACTTATTTAAATAATTAGAGGATTACTAGATACTCAGAACTTATGCCTCTTCAATGGTTGTGGCGTTGTGCTTGGCTTTTATCTTGCAGGCCCTTCTGCATGCTTGTATTGCATGTTCTTTGAAGCCATCAGTTGACTGGATTGCAGCTTCTGACCTTGAAAATGATAGTGCAAAACTGGTATGACCACTGGAAGTTACCTTAGGGATTTGTACCACATTTCTCTAATGGATGTCCTTTAACCTAAATATTGTTTTGTCAATACAGACACCAGAAGCTCATGCTGCTGCATGGGAAACGTTAAGGGTAAGACTTGCACTTGATTGTTTCGTAACTTGTGTGTCTTCTAAAAGAAAGCTTGTATTATTATATTATGCATCCTCTGGTACAGCCAACCTGAGATTAAAGTGACGTGTCATTCACAGTTTGACTAGTTAAAAATAGTACTAACCATAAGTTAATATAACATACAACTCAACAGAAATGGAGTATTTGACAGGAACAAGTTAGGCTCTTTGATCCTTATTTTATTTACCCTAGCAGGTTACTCATACTCAAGGTCAAAGAATCCTTATCTGAATTATGTGCATCAGCTGAATATATCTACTTGTAAATTGCAAAGCAAATCTTTTCTAACCATCTCAACCATGTCCTTTTTTGGCCTTCTCCTAGTTCTTTCTGGGCCCTCAACCTACATTTTCTCTTTAATGGAGTAATAGATGGTCTTCTGTGCACCCCTAGTCTGCTTTCCATCATTTTGTTTCATATTAAAACTACCATTAGCTTCACATTAATGCACCTTTTTTTTTTAATTCTATCCTTTCTGGTCTTTTTACTTTGTTCAATACAACATTGTTAGCCTTGTAGGTTTTTGTTGATTACACATCATTATTTATGAATCCTAAATTTCCAGAGTGCAGCATGCGTCTTGGTTCCTGGTGGATTTGGAGATCGTGGTGTGGAGGGAATGATATTAGCTGCAAAATATGCTCGGGAGAATCATGTTCCCTATCTCGGGATTTGCTTGGGGATGCAGATTTCCGTGATTGAGTTTGCTAGATCTGTCTGTGATATATTTTTTCTTAAAAATTTATTTTTTTAGATGCATTAGTACTAAGGGTAATACAGGGACCCCCTTTACTTTTTTTTTTTTTTTGGGGGGGGGGGTGGAGGTGACTAATTAGATGAAATTCCAACTATCCAAATATGTGCCAAGATTTCATCTAATCTAACCCCTCAAAATGGTGTTTCCAATCAACCCAAAGATTTAAGCCATCAAAGTGGTGTCTTAAGATCAGTGAACTAATCTCAACCATCCAGACTACTTTAATGGCTTAGACCTGTTGATTTGGTACCTCATTTAGATGGGAAAAATTAATTGAAACCTTGGTACATAATTTGGATGGCTGAGATCAATTGACTGAACCTAAGAGGCTATTTTGATGGTCCAGATCTTTGGCATATTTTATACAATATACATTACTTTATTTGACATAGATTTTTTTTAGAAACTTTGGTGATTTAATTGGATGCCTGAGATTAATTGAAATTTTGGTAAATTGCTTCGATGGTCAAGATTCACAGATCTAAGCCATTGAAGTGGTCTCCATCAATGGATATCTCAACCATCCAAGTGATTTGAGGTAATCATGGGTCGGATGCGGGCCGAGCTGGGCTTAGGGCTTATATCATTAAATATTGTATTTGTACTACATATAATACTTTATATTATAGGACATATAATATATACTTATAAAATATATGTTATACTTTATACAAATAAATTTTATAGAATATATTATGTATCATTTTATAATAGTTTTAATTATAATATGTCATATAATATAAATAAACACATAGGTAATATATATAAATATATTACAGGCTGCACCAGGCTAGAAATAATCACCTTTAAGTGATACCAAGATTTCAACCAATCTAGACCATCCAATAAAGTACCATATAATCCTGGGAATCAAGGCCATCAAAATGGTCTCCTAGCAATGATCTCATCCATCCAAGTTGTGTATTAAGCTAAACCAAAGGTTTGGTTCATCAAAATGGTATCCATGAATAAATCAATGGATCTGAGCCATCTAAGGGATTTGCCAGAGTTTTCATATGGCAACATATAACCTCTACCAATGGCCAACATCAAACATCGCCCAGTTGTGGTTTTTTCTTTAAAGGCCCAAAAATGGCATATGGGTAATTGGGTAATTTCTCATTTGCCATTAGCATCATCAAGAGTGTCAACATTATATGAAATTTCAGGGGGCTAATGTTGTAAAAAATGGTACAGGGGGGCTTAGTGTCAGACCCCCTAAAGTACTGGGGGTCCCTGTAATTTAACCTAAAATTAATACTTCTCTCATCTTCTCCTTTCTTTGGTTTTGAGCTTGTCTAGGTTTTGGGTCTGAGCAGAGCAAATAGCACGGAGTTTGACAACAGTACACCTGACCCTGTTGTAATTTTTATGCCAGAGGTATATAGTGAGCCCTAGTAGTTTTAAGTGTTTTGCTGAGATAAATAAATGATCATATGTTCTGCATTTTTCCTCACCCCAATCCACATGCAGGGCTCGAGAACACATATGGGAAGTACAATGAGATTAGGATCTCGAAGGACAGTTTTTCAGACACTTGATTGCATTACATCAAAGCTGTATGTGATAAGATCTGTTGGACCTATTTCTAAGCATAAGTATTCATTTCCGTAAATTAGCCAAGAATAATTTAGTTTATTCGTATAATCTGAGTGAACTCTTTTGGATGAAAATCTTAAATTGAAAGAAAATATATTGAAAGGCTTGGATTCTGTGTAAACTTGTATCTTCCTGGAATGTCAACCAGTTCATGTTGATAGAGTTTCCTCTGATTAATGGATATTTTGGATATCCTCCAACTGCATGTGTAGTATTCAAGTTACTTGCATTCTTCTGCTTGTATACCCTTGGCTAAATGAGTGGTTTTCCCCTTTCAACTTACCTTTAGATACCACAACTCAGAGTATGTGGAGGAACGCCATCGACATAGATATGAGGTTAGTGTTCAAACTATATCATCATGATATGTTTCTCTTTGTGGAGGTATTATGATGTTACCTTTTCCCTAGAAAGGAGGCATTATACTTTGTCTGATGTTACTGCGTCAGGCTGCTACTTTTTGGTATTTCTGGGGAAATGAATTCAATTTCAGTGACTTCTGACAACTGATTTCTTCCATTAAGATGGAATGCTCCAATAGAAATAGTTGAAATATGCATGGAATATCATTTTCCTATAAATATTTATAATCCAGGATTGTTCATAGAATATAAAAATCTATGTTATAGGTGAACCCTGACATAATTGGCAAACTGGAAGAATGTGGCCTAAAATTTGTTGGAAAGGATGAAAGTGAAAGAAGAATGGAGGTAATCTTTTTCATATGCTAAATAAAAATAGCATGTTTATGATCCACTGTATCACTGAGATGTGAATTGCCTTGATTAATTTCATACAGATTTTGGAACTTCCTTCTCATCCGTTCTACGTGGGAGTCCAGTTTCATCCAGAATTCAAGTCTAGGCCAGGGCGACCTTCAGCTCCATTTCTAGGTACAAGTAAAAGCAACTGGAACTCTATTAGATAGAACTATCAAAAGAATAACTGATTTTTTTAAAAAGACTATTCTCATTCAAAGCCAGCCATTTTATGGTGTTTATGCCAGGTTTTAACCTTCTCATTTGTTTCTGCTATGATTTTACTCTATTTTATATTGCTAATTAGACGTGTCTTATTATATATTTTCAGCTAGCTATGATATTCGATTTTCTTTCTTTGGAAGAATATTATTTTTTTACTGTTCTGTCACTTAGGGGGCATTCTTTTTTCGGATTTTGAGAGGGGGGAAAGTTGGTCAATGGGATTTTGGTTTCCATTGACCAAGAATTCCATGCTCTTTTTTTAGATTTATGTGGGGACCAGGGAAAGTTTATTTTCCTAGGTATCACTTACCCAGGTATGTGATACCCATCTCCTAGGTGGGTAAATAACTTTCCCACCTAGGGGGAAAGTTGCCAACACTTGAATGGGACAAAAATGCCCCTTTTAATAATGGATTTTTATGGCTAAAATTGTCATTGCCTTATTTACATGAAAAATAAAAGAACATGGGTAAATGCACTTACTCGGGTAAGTGTTTCCCAGGAAAAACTTACCCAGGTAAGTGTTTCCCAGGAAATCCCAGGAAAAACTTACCCAGGTAAGTGTTTCCCAGGAAAAACTTACCCAGGTAATTTACCTGGGTAAGTAACTTACCAAAAAGCAAACGGAGCCTTAATGTCTAGGATTTCTGTTGATTTGAGTTCTGAGTGTTTATACACCTTTATAACCTTTGTTGTAGAAACCACCAATGAATGTCTGACAAGTGTTCAAGTAGAAGTTTTGTGTGTGAACTATCTTTTTCTTTTTTAATTTTATTTTCTCAATGACTTTGTTGTCATTTTAGGTCTAATACTAGCAGCAACAGGACAGCTGGACGCATACCTTGGAAAGCATTAGTAAGGAAGTTAACATGGCAATTGGTCCTCTTTCCAAACGCAACTAACCATTTTACAAAGGTATACAAGTGCAGTTGAGAAATCAGCTAGTTCTGAGAATCAATAGAGGAAATTCATCTTTGGGAGAGCAATCTTGTTTCTGGGTTTACACTTACATCCAGGGCCTTACTGCAGGGAAAATGCTGTGGAGCTCCTCTATAACATGTGTAATGATGCTTGTGGATCTTGGTTGGAAGAAGCAAAACTACATTCTCAGCAAGGTGCATTGTAGAACTACATCTAGAAAGCCTACATACCCTTTTTACATCTATGTTTGTAGCCTTTTATTCTTAACGAGGTGCAAATGTAGAATTACATCTGGAAAAAGCCTACATTTGATTTTGTTGGTATGTGATCACTTTTTTGGGCTGAGTCAAGAAAACATCTGGCTGCAGATTACTTAACAGTTATGAGTTCAGCTGTGTAGGTTTGTTTTATATGCACCTTCTCTTTCCTATTATTCTTTTCTGAGAGTTGAGAGCATTTTGGTACTTATCGGAAATAGTGTTAGATGCTTTGTCCCCAAAAATGGCTTTATGCTGAAGAAACTGAGCTCGCATCATCTGTCCCCAGGAGACAATTTTTTTCTGGCTCATCCAATTAAAATGGAACACGCCACCCTCTCCCTCTTACCTTTCAAACCGACAATTTTTTTCTGACTCCAAAGTTTTATGAAATCTAATTAATGCTCCAACTTCTTTCTCTCTTTTTATTCCCCCTCTCTTCTCTTCTCATTCTCCTCCCTCTCCACTGTCCCTGCACAGCACCAAACCGCCCCTACGAGTGTCTGAATCTCCACCGCCATCGGAACCACCGTTACAACCATGCTGCTGAAATCGCAGCTCTCTCCACATTCTCTCTGACAGGAGGGGTGAGACGTCATTGAAGCTATTCAAAACTCTCATATTCAGAGTTATCAAACACTGACAAAGTGTATTAATGGAAGACAGAGATAGCTGTTCTTCAAAAGAAACTCTTCAATTTAACCAAATCCATCATTCATTTGAACATGTATTCAATTTGGATTTCAAGATTTGTTTATATATCGATAAACTCACACACTACAGTCATGCAACTATTTGGAAGCTCCCTTCGTCTCATAATAAGAGCCCATGTTGATACCCATCAACATCAATCACTTGCCTAGTTGCCTATATATATGGTCATGCATGAATCACTCTTCCCCGCTTGAATGTTTGGCAGCAATTAACAAATCCATAGGAGAATTGCTCAGTTGGAGATTCATGAAGCAGAGCAACTGTGTTGGGTCTCTAGTAAATACTAAATAGGATAAAAGTTTGGTAAGATAAACCCTTGGTTCTTGCCTTTCTGTGAAATTTAATTTTAAGGACGTCAAAAGAGAGAAGAAATCAAGAAACTGAAACCCAAGTAACCGATGCACTTGCAAATTGCAATCTAATTCACTCAGGAAAAAAAATCATCTCATGCAGGCCAGTGACACCGAATAGTTTTGTATCTGCTTTGACAAAGTCTGTACAATCAAGGTCAGAGACTGCGGCCACCAGATTTGTGCGCATAGCATGATTCACATCGCATGCTTGACTGCCCCAATCTGCCCGTTTTGCCGCAGTAGCATTGCCAAAGTGGTTTCCAAGGGTAAGACGGAGAGAGAGTCGGACAAGGAGATCAACTCTTCGAAGATGAGGAGGTTGAGGAGATGAAATTTCAGTGAAGGCAGCAACAACTTATTGGGTTTGTCAGCTGCTGATTCATTTTGGAAGATGGATGGTTGTGGTTCAGGGAAGATTGTTGCTGATGGCAATGTTTGAAACGCTATCAGCTCTAGCACTCAGAGTAGGGAGGATTGCTTCTCGAAGCAATACAGAGAGGATGGAAGACCTATCCTCTTAGCTCTCAGATGGTGAGAACGATCACCGATGGAGCAAATGACGGACTGGGAGATCTGCGAGGTTCACCTGTAGAGAAGTGGGAGGGTAAAATGGCAGACTGGGAGAGAGAGAAAGGGAGAGAGGGGAGGAGGAGAAAGAAGCAAGTGGGTAAGAGAGAGGGGGTTTGGGCGGGTTAATAAAATTGAAGTGATTTTTGGAGTCCAGACGATCCTTAAATCTGAAACTAGGTTTAATTTTAAGTTTTAGTATAAAAGGTGGCGTGGCGATTTTCTATTGGAGGGGACAGACGATATGAGCTCAAAGAAACTTGTAGCTTGTGGAACGAGATCTGTTCCTCACACTTGGGCGCCTCACATGCACATCTACCGTGCATTGAGAACATCTCCTATAAAAAATAATTTATAAGTACGGGAGATATTCTCAATGCATAGTAGGATGTGCGTGTGAGGCACCCAACGTGAGGAGCAGATCCCGTCTCGTAACTTGTGGCCTTGGGAGGGGCCAGATTGTTGAAATTGTTTTCTTGTGAAGCGGAACAGAAAGAGGCCAGCTTTATTTGTTGAAAATGGTTCTTAAGGCATGCGCATGCCTTAAGAACCATTTTCTGGAGGCAGATCTAAGCTGGTTCTTGATTTAGCATTTGTTGGTTTGAAGTCGAACTCTGAAGAGGTTAATATTAATGTATTTACATGTCATTATGTCAAGTCTGAACTCTGAAGAGGATGGTATACAGTTGTCAACGGGTCGGGTTCAGCATGGATTTGCCTTAAAGTCTAACAGGATACTCTGATGTCTCCACTCGAATTGTATTTTTAATGCATTTTGTAAATAAAAATTATGGGAAATTGTCCAAAACCCACCATCACTTTTTGTGAATTTTTTTGAATTCACCATAACTTTTTAAAATGTCTAAAACTCACCATGTCAGTGAGATTTTATTTTCTAAAACTCACCATCTAAGAATACCGTTAAAGTTCAATGACCCAAGTTGTCCACGTCAACCTAAATGTACGTTTCATGACTAAACTGCCTCTGAATGGTGAGTCAGCCTATTTAACATTTGTTTTGACCAAAATGCCCTTAAGCACCCAATCCCCTCTTACTTGCATGGTTCTATTGGAATCTACCAAAGAGACAAGTACGAAGTCGGACACAATTTTTCATTCTCAGGTATGTTTGGAAAGCAAAAGCAAATCAGAGACATTAGAAACCCAGAAATTTGCTGCAAAACCTTATTTGTCCTCCCTTGATTTAGCTCCTCTTGATGTTGATCTTTCTCTTCCTCCTTACGATCCCAAAACCAACTATCTTTCCCCAAGACCTCAATTCCTTCATTATAGACCTAATCCTAGGATTGAGGTTTACTTGAAAAAAGAAAGAGGGATGGAATGGAGTGAAGGTAAGTGACTTGAAGACGAGTTCATCTCTAAAAGATGCTCAAATACTAAAAATGATGAAGAATCCCAATCTACAGATTCGGAAAAGAAATTTGATGATTCTTCTTCACAGATGGCACCCGATCCACAATTTGGCCATCAACCACAACATTTTCACTGGAGTTATCAAAAACAGTTGGAACATAATCCTGCCAAGAGAAAGAAAAAGTTACATAGAGACAGGGATGGGGAGATGAAAACTGAAAAGAGAAGAGAAGCTAGTGTACACTCTCAATGCAAAACCAGAGAAAGCCATCTGTGATGGGAAGTGGCGTAATGAGCATTTCCATTGCGAGGTTCGGTGATGGGAAGCCATGCGTCATGCGGTTCAGCTTGGTTATGTGGCCCACCTCCTTTAGGTACCCTTTCATTTTAATGAGCACCCTCTTCATCGGCGTACCGATTGGGCTCAGGAACCTCGGCGATATTAGCGATGTTGGTGTCTAAGCAGTCGATGATTTCCCCTCCTTGGACACTGGCCTCGGTGATCTTTGCCCCAATGGAGTCATTATCTCTAGCGTCGATACACGAGGCATTGCTAGTATCAACACTTACTCCGTCTCCACTCTCTCCATTGATTCTGTAACTTTAGTATTCCCTCTTTATAATCACATAGCTGTGACGATGAAAGAGTCGCAATCAAGACTACCCTCTTTCTCTCTCTCTCTCTCTCTTTCTCACTCTCTTGGGGGGCAATGTGCTCTTTTTGTAGCACTAGGAGGAGGAGCAAGAGTACGTGGCCTCAATCCATGAATTAATTATGGAGTTTCGTTTGTTTTTCCCTTGTCTATTCTTTTTTCTGTCTGTCTCTGTTCGATTCCCCAGTCAGACTCAGACTGTTAGACAGTGTATGCCCTTAGCTCCCATCAAATTGATGTACATACCCATTTATTGTAAATGAATAAAAGTACATAATTGATTCATGTTATATCTGGTGTGTTTCTGTGTAATTACCCTTAAATTGGACACTTAGGAGACTTGTGTTAGTTTATAATGTTCTCAGCCGTTGGATAGGCTTGGGGAAGTTTATCCTGCCAAGGCTGACATTAATGTGCTGCCAAGTTGGTTGGGTAGCTTGTCTCAACTGTTAGGGTTAGACCCGAAGCACATGTAGTGTGTGTTTGCTTGAAACATTGAACCCATTCCACTTTCCAATTATGCCCTAGACCTTGGAGACTGGTGGACGAAATTGGAAAGTTACACTTAACCCCTAGACTCGATTATGGTACTGCACTAGGTGTTGGATTAGACTGTCTTTGATATGCCAATCAGTGAGATCCTTTGGGGGTCAAAACCTGGGTATGTTGGGGCAGTCTGAGAATTCACTCGAGTGGGTGATCATAGTGACAGGATCAACCCCTTTGTCGAACAAAGTGAATGATCGTAGACTACACTCTCTTTGATGGAAACCAAAATTGCCGACAGTCGATTTCAATCGTGTTTGAGATTTGTTTTGCAAAATATATTTATATGAAAATATACATATATTATGTTTTATGAAAATGGTTTGCAAAATGTTTTAATTCCCGGGATCCATCCGAGCAGAGAGTGTGACACTATACCTTGTAGCTGAGGGAGAGGTCCTCTCTTGTCGGACAGTGTTTGATTATTAAGGGCTAAGAGGTTAAGTGTAAGATCATTTAGGGCTTTTATACCTGATGGACTAATCTCACTTGAGATTATAGTCCTTGGGCCTTCATAAGGTTGCTAGACTCAAGGACCATTTAGTATAAATGTTGGGCCCATTAAGAGTCCATATTGATGGACTCAGGGGTTCACTATGCTTAGTAGTGAATTCGGCCAAGCTTTGTCACAGAAGATAGGCTAAACCCATATGGATTTTGTGAGGTCAATGTTAAGGTCCCACGCCATACAAAGAGAGCCAAGTTAACTAGCAATTAATAAAGGGACGTGAGCCACCTGCTTAATGGGCCTAAAGCCCAAAGATTAATTAGATTAATTAGTATGGGCAAATTTGAGTATTGATATGAGTTTGGATCAGCAAATAAGGATAAGAGGATAAGTCTTATCCACTTAAAGAGTCCAAATCCAAATAAAGATTTGGATTAGGAAATTCCTAATTAGATTAGGAGATCATCTCTTTAAGATCTATATAAAAGGAGGAGGGCGAACAGCTCCAAGTTTGCATACTGCTCTCAGTTCTCCCTCTCTTTCTGCTCTTGCCACCCTATCCCTAATTCGACCTCCATTCTTGAATTGATAGAGATTAGTTCTGATTCTGATTTTTGCAAGAAAAATCAGATCTAATTTCATGCTCACCTCCCTTGCTTGATCCAAGCTATTGGATTGCAGTTCTTATTAAAGGACTGCATTGCTGAAGTTGCTTCATCTCAAGCTACGCCATCTTTAGTGGAAGCGAGTTTTGGTACCCTCTTTGGACGTGAACACCTACTTTGGGAGCTACACGTGTGGATTCCGTATCGGGTATTGCTCTCACTTTCTTTTGGTTTCAGATCTGGTCCGGTTTGGATCAAGAACGATCCTTGAAAAATGCAATTTTTCTAAAACTAGGAATATGATTCCCAAAAGGGAGAAAAGAAATTTTTGAAATTTCTGTTTATGTGAGTGGAGTTTGTGTTTTTGTGTATGTGAGTGCTACACACAAAGAGAGAGAGAGAGAGAGAGAGAGAGAGAGAGACGAGGGGATTCTGAAGACAATAAACGGATAGAGAAAGGAAGGAGGGAAAGAGAAGAAGACATGTATATAAACTCAAACCAGAAGTGGGGAAAGGACGAGCATGGTGAGTCATTGTCGTAGGGACAAGAGAGTAAAGTGAAGCTGTAGTAATGCTATAAAACTTAGAAACTCAAGTATAGGAATAAGACTCGATCCTCCATTCTAAAGGAAGGCAATCCCAGGGTTGAATCTTGAATTTAATTGCTAGTAGACAAGGAGAGAGATGATAGATGGGAGGAGATAAGAATAGGGCGGAAGGCGGCAGAGCGAAGGGAGAAGCCATTGAAGAGGAAGAAAGTAAAGCAGTAGATAATGAAGGGTAAAATAGTAAATTAACAATGCTTGTTAGTTAAGTTACCGTTATCAAACTGACATGGTGAGTTTTGAAAAGTAATGGTGAGTTTAAGAGAATTCATAAAAAGTGATGGTAGGTTTTGGACAATTTCCAGAAATTATTAATTTAAGTTAGATTTTTTTTTTCAAGTAGTTGGGATTTGTTTTGTAGGTTCTAAGGCATCATTTTTTTATCAACATTAAAACAAATCGTAAGCTTCATCACTAGAGAGTTACAATACCCCTGTATATATAGAGGGGTATCATGACCCTATAGAGGAGTATCATGACCCAATGGGGGTCAGACAAAAGTGTTAAAGAATCAAAACCCTAGTCCAACCTTAAACCTGAATGGCTGAATGTAGCAAACCCTAATCCGATCCATTGACAAAAGCTCTCTAGGGTTGGATCCCACGAAACATTGAGAATATTTTAATCGTAGTGCTCTTCCTTAACGACTAGCAATAGGGTTGACCACCTTTCGAGAATAGGACGAGATTGGGTTATTGAAGAAGGGCAATAACTTCTTGTTTTCTTGACATCAGATCAGATACCCTTGTCGTTCAGGTGCTTGAAGCGCTTAAACCTTGCAAATAACGAACGGCCTGTATCTGTGTGGGCCGATACTATATGTGGTTTGCAAGCTTCCCAACTTTGTCACTATCCATCCAAAGTGGGTTTGAAGTGCAAGGAACCGATGAATTGAAGTTGAAGGGTGAGAGGTCTGAGATCCAAATTGGGTTTACATTTACAACAGGCAGATCTCCCTGTGCTGGTTAAGTTGATCTGGTTGTGGGACGGTTGCATGAAACTAACTTGGATCCGATCTAGAGTCGCTTTGAGGCATTTGGTATGTCATGTCCGTAAGTTCTGTACCTCAAAATCAGTAATCACAAAGTATATTGACCTTTAACATCTCACAAACAGACAGTGATTCTGTGAATCCGTTCTGTCAATCCATTTATATTGTTAATACAACACTTATTCTGGCACTGTAAACACTCGGTTCCGGTTGATACTTGAAAGCCGAGCCTCCACACTGTATTTACAACAACGCCGCAAGAACTCTTTTATGGAAAAAGAACAAAAGAAGGCAGCAAAATCTGAAAAAATACAGGGAACTCATCACTATCAACAGTATTCTTTTTCATCAACTTGCGCCTCTTGTTAGCATCTCATTGTATTGTAGATATGAAATCTGTCTCTGCAACTTAATTTGTTCATAGAAGTTAGCTATAAACTTCTCAGCCTTGAGATCAATATTCCCTTCCTCTTCTTGGCATGGAAACATTTCAGAGGTTTGTGTATCATCCCAGTCACCCCCATAGTCTTCTTCCTTTTCATCATCATCAGCTTTGATGAGAAAACTGTTCCTGCCGCCTTGGTTGCAGATTCCATCTATATCGTCCAAGTAGTCGCCCTTGAAATCGAAATCGAAATCGACATGGGGTGGATTTAAACATGGAAATTGAAATCTCAGCGAAGGGGGGCGATGCATTTTGAAGTGGAAGAGAGGCGTCTTGTCGAAAGAGAGCTCCCTCTCCCCGTAAGGACGAATGGAGTCCCGATCGGCAGCGTTGCATAGGTTCTTGATGTGGTTGGGCAGGAGTCGTCGAAGGTCCATCATGAGTCCTCGCTTGATAATTCCACCTTTTCTTGCCCATAACAATACAAGACGCAGTAGATTCCACGCTCTGCGACCCAAATCTGTTTTCTTCTTCGCCATTAATGATTTTCAAATTCGTCGCAGAAGTGGTTTCAGTAGTGCCTACAGCAGTAGCAGCAGCAGTTGTGAATATATGTAACTGCTTTCTTCAAGAGAAAGTTGATGAAACAGTCTGCTCTCGAGAAGATTGTGACTGAAGGACTTAAAAAAGCCTGTATCTTGGATTCTGAGAACAAACTTATTAATGGCTGCTATTTATACATACATGGACTTACTTATCAGATATCACGCGGTTTTAAATTCAGAGAGAGAGAGAGAGACGCGGTGGGATCTGGCGAAGACAGGGCTTTACGCGGAGCTTCAAGTTGGGGTGTTTAATTTCCATGTATTATGTCTATGTCGCTTTCATGGAAGAAGACTTTTTTTTTTTTTGGTTAGATTGCGGCTGGGAGGGTGTCACATTCTCTATTAACCCTTCGGTCCATCCTTTAGGTGGACCGTTTAATTAATTTTTGCCATTTCGTTAAAAAATTGGGTGGGTGTATTTTCAATCACACCATAAGTGCGATGTGATCGAGAACTGACCACAGCAGAATAAACATTATTGTAGTGAAAAATGGATAGCCTGAACCACACCACCATATTAGTGTTTCGCAGGGTGTGGTGTGGTGTGGTTTAAGCCACACCTTGTGAGATAATCTCTGTTGTTGATAAAGTGTAATGCTATTTTTTTATTGGCCTTTTTAAGCAAAACACAAATTAATAATAGGAATTAATTTAACTTGTGGTTAATTGTTAACCATGATAATATGAATTAGTAAAAAAATTATTGGCTGAACTGAAAAAATTAATAATGATTAAAAAATTAAAAGTATAAGAGAACTAATAAAAAGCATAAAAAAGTAAAATTTCTACTTTTAATATCCAATGTAATAACAGTGGTAATGGTATATATAACTAAAAAAGTATAATAATAATAATAATAATAATAATAATAATAATAATAATAATAATAATAATAATAATAATAATAATAATAATAATTTTTTGTAAACTCCCAAATGCAAAGTATATCTCACGAGGGGATTATAGTCCCTTATAAAATACTGTGGTAGATATTTAGGGGGTGGTGTAGATCACACCACGATATATTGGGTTTTGGCCACATCACAGCATAACAAACCCCGGAATAAGGTGTGGCATGGTTTCACCACACTCTCGAACATTGCCTTAAACGGAAAAACTTTACCTGTTGGGGGCCAACAACCTATGCTGTTGAGAGAATTTCTGAGAATGCCATGAGAATGGATAAATTAGTAATTACAACTTAATTTATTTTGACTAAAAACAAAAGCATGGGTGTGAATAGGTAAACTACCCAGAACATGTCCAACCCAAAAACTACCTCAACAGCCTATGATGTTGGGCCCCAACAGCCAAAGTTAAGCCGCCTTAAACGGTGGCTATGAGCACCACCAACAAAATGAGAGCCCACTATTACCTCACCTTCTCTGTCTCTCCATTCTTTCTTTTTCTTCTATTTTCTCTTCCTTCTCTCCTATGTTGTTGGTGAACAAAAAAGAGATAAAATCAGTGGTATTGATGACATGGAGAGAGAAAGATGGGGTGCTATCTACTATAATCTACCTGCATTGTTGTGTTCATGGCATCAATCTTCTTTAAAAATGGAAGGTCTTGCTATCGATCCCAATAAGATTTCTTGACTTGTAGTTATGGTCTTGTTAACCTTCTATAGTTCTGTATTTTCTTGGGTTTGATCTTGTTGTGGTCCTAAATGGTTAAAGTGTTTGGTTGATGCATTCCATTAGTCTTAAGGTTTTTGGTGTATTGGTTAAGTACACCACATTTGGTATCAAAGCCTATCATTACATCCCAAATTCGAATCACAGAGAGGGCTACCTAGAATAGAGTGAAATCTATCATAGAAATGGCTACTTGGAGTAGAGTGGAAATCGTCACAGAAAGGGCTACCTATCACCAGAATGTGAGTCGTCGTGAAAAGGGCTACCTATTGCCAGATTGAGAGCCGTCATGAAGAGGGATACCTACTGTTACAGTGAGAGCTGCCTAGAGTGAAGCCGCTGAGACGTAAGCATGATGGTATGTTACAATCATAAATGGTTAAGTGCTTGGCTTGACACGTTCCATCAATCTTAAGCTTTTGGCCTATTGGTCAAGCACATAACAATGCGGAAATGAAAATCTGACAACACAAATCAAAATTCTCACGAGTAACAATTCAAAATTCAAAGATTTATCAACCTAGGTCAGAAATAGGTGGAGGGTTTAGCTTATGATCTATAATGAGTGTTCTTTAAAAGCAAATTTCTTTAGGCTCAGTTTGGAAAGAGTACAATACAGATATATACAGTACAAATAGACACAAAATAATACAAAATACCAGGTTTTGCATTCTAAGACTCCGTTTGGAAGGAGTACAAATACAAATATGTATAGTACAAATACATAATTTTGCACTCTATATATTTGCATTTGTACTCCTTCCAAACTGAGTCTTAAGAGATTAGAGGATTTTGTTCTTTCCATGGCATTGAATGTTTTTCTTGAAAATCAAGTTTAGAGGCGTAAAATTGTTTGTGTGTTTGTCAGATAAATAGATAGATAAAGAAAGAAAGAAAAAAAGAAGAAACCCAAGCTCCATGCAATGGTTTTTTGTTCGAAGGGAAGGTTGGAGAAGAAGAGAGACAAGAAAACGGTGAACCATAACGGCTGTTAAGTCTCATGAAAATTATGAGATTACGTGACAACAATTGGTTGGAGGGTACATGTAAATAGTGGACCGAACGATCCATATGATATGCACTTGAGTTTGGTGTAATTTCTCTTTATCTCTTCTCTCCTCCTTCATTACTGTTCCTTAAATAAATAGAGAAAAAGTGTATGACTGAGAAAGAAGGAAACTTCAAAGAATTCGTACATCCTCGTTGTTTCAGCTTTCAGGTAAACTTAGCTGTTGGTCGGTTTGTTTGGTTATTAACTTATTATATTCCCCACTTTCCGTGAAATGAAGAAGTGTCACGGGGGTAGTTCTACAGCGGAAGAAACCCGTGCGGCGTCCTGGCCAAGGCCGGTCAGGACAAGCCTTTCTGTGCTTAGAGGCTAGGAGTTGCCCGATGGGATGGTTCCACCAACGTCAGTAGCACTGGATCATGACCTCAAGTCCAATGGCCGGGGCACTCTCCTGGCTCAGACCGGTCCATGGGAGGCGCCGCTTACGTGCTAAAGGGGGACAACCATAATGGAAGGCGACCATGCGCCGATGAGGTGACTTGGCACCTTTGT